TTCATCGTTCGCGTCGCTGATTGGCTGCGACTAAAAACAGAACGATTTTTTCATCACTGTCATCTCTGTGGATAAATCTCAGTACTTATAAAATAAATATGATAACTATGATATTTCCAGTATTGAACCAGACCTTCCCCAGGAAGAAGGTCTACAGACCTATGCATGACTGGGTAGGGAAAGCTTTCACGCAGCAACACAAACGACCTGTTTCCTGTCAGACTGGGCATAATTCGGCGTAAGTACATTTTGCACTCTTCTTCTCGTTATAAAAAGTTCTTTTGCCTTTTTTTTATCGCGTGGAATTCTAAATACGAGATGTAACACCAAAACGCCACCAAAAATAATTCTACAAGGCCAGTGGTTGAGGGTTTTTATGACGTTAGATACAAACCAGCTATACCTATTTTAACTGAAGAGGATACCACTGGTACGGTTGGCATGACAACTGACATCGCAGGCGCTTGAGCCATCGGCAAATAAGCTGAGAGAAACAGAATTGTATTCTCGTCAGATGATAATTCTCAGAATTAAACTCAAACGAATTTTATGGAGAAAGTAAAGAGAATTGATCTTTCAAGCTTGACAGGACAGTAGAATCAATTCATCAAAGAAGAAGTGCTGACAAATGCCGGGAAACACTACTACTACCATAACATTTTTTACCTGGATAGCTCCACACTCCCACACTCTGATTGCTTGTCACAGCCGCTGCCGAGCTCTGGACCGGCGCCTCTACTGAGGGTGTGTCTTCCTTGACATCTGTCCCACTCTCACCTGATGGGTACTCCCATTGCGAGTCGCCTGTCACCCTGTTCGTGTAGTAATATCGTTTGTGTGTCCTGCCAAAAGCAAACAGAGTACAACAAAACAACAGAATGAAATGCTACACCATAGCAATACTTCTCCTAACATTACAACTGGAGAGCATTCATAATGAGCGTAAAACTATCCATGACAAGGATCCACTTACAAAGAGAAATTCATTTTTTTTTTTTGGTCAAAAAACCCCTCCTGTTAGATCAGCCAAATTTCTTGCATCGCTCAAAGGTAATATTATTATTTTCTCGCAAGGATGACTTCTTCACTCAATATGAATGCTCGAACCAAGTTCCTTGGTAAATAATTCTTGTACGCTCTTCCTCAAGAGCTAAGAATGTATTACCAAAGATGCACATAACTGTTTTAATTAAGCAAACTAAGGAGTTGAAGATGTTTGTACATACAGTTCCACTGACCTTGCTCATGTCCTACTTTGTTTCTTGTCTTGCGATGCTGGTCTTGCTGTGGTGGTGGTGATCATCAGCGAAGTGAGTTCGAGTCCAGTATCCTGATGTGCCATAGGGTATCCAGTCCACAATACAAAGTGCACAACCACAGACTAGGGTAACAGACATAAACAGACAGACATACACAGACACAGACAGACAGACAGACAGACACACATACTCATGTACAGATGAACACATGCTACACTGTATGGGTACTCACAAGATTGTACTGACTTGGTCTCTACGAATGACTGAAACCACAGTTTTGGGCAGTGATGTCACTTGTTGACTGACAAGTTGATATGAGTACTTTTGAGTTCTTAGGTAACTTTTGATTAAACTATGTAGCCAAGTTGAACTTTGTAGGGCCATGAGACACCTAACACCTAAAGGCCCTGCATGGAATAGCATCCTTCCTCCAAGTAGGGAGGATTGGTCAAGAAGATTGCAAAGGAAAGCTGTTGACTGAAACTGATTTTTCAACTGTTGCCTATACTGTAGCCATGGAGGGAAAAGTTTCAATACATAGACTTCTCCCTTACTTTCATAAACGTTCATGCCTCTGTCCAAGAAATGGAAAATAACAAACACACAGTTTTGTCATTACATCAGAACTGTTTTCCTCCTGATGTTTCTGCAAGCAAACTTCCTCTAGTACAATGTTTCTTGTTTTCTCAAAACTAAAAATCGGTGAAAATCAAAAACCAAACAAATAAAACATTTGCCGGGTTTTTGTTGAAATAGAGACAAAATGTGGCAGTTTGTTAGAACAAGAAAGGCTCTGGGAACAACAACAGCAGGTAATTGTTTCCATGTAGCTTTTCAAAGTTCAGAATGTTCTTCCAAACTTTATCGAGTGTTTCTATGTCACTCAAGAGAAAAACGGGGAAGATTTGTTCTATTTCTCTTGGAAAACACTTTCATTACGTCAACAGCTCGAGTAAGTTCTGTGTGTTTTTTTTTAAATCGTGTTATGGAAGGCCAGCTTTTAGCGTGTGTTTTAAAATAAGGGGATTTCTACAGGGCTTTACAAGTATGCCTTTGCCCAAACTTTTCTTGAAACTGAACCAAGGAGAAACAAAAGACTGACAAAACACATGCACAGACAAGACAATAACACTTGCAGCAGAACATTGAACAGAGAACAAACATCACTACACATATGGATCACATCAATGAAGGATGGCTAGTTTCTGAAATTTTCACGAACCTAACACTGACCAACTTCTTAAAAGATGACGATGAACCCGAGGAAGCCATAACGAGACAACTTGATAATTATCACAGTCTATAGCTGTGCACAGTTCATTACGACTCCAAGCCTGTTGCTCAGTCCAAACAGGCAGGATACTCCCCCCTGGCAAAACACAAGACTGATACAGTACCTGTCCCAGTGGCACAACCAGCCAGGGGGGGCCGCAGACTCCTCATACTGCTTGAGCCGCTTGTCAGCTTCACCGAGCTTGTCAATCAAGTGACGGCTGTCTAGAGCTCCTTCACGCCAATCACTGATTCGTGTCTGGAGGTGAAATATATAAACCTAACTTAGTTTTGCTAGACACAATATATTGATCTTTGGGGCCATAATCTCAAGAAAGCTTTTCGTTCTCGGAAGCAAAACAAAACTTGTCCATTATGGTACTGCTTATTGTGCTGTACAAGGTGGTTCTAACATTTAGGTCTGTGGATGAAACCATAGTGTTTGACTATTTAAATGAAAGCAATCGAGCAGTACTTGGTACTGTTTACCATGCGGTAAAGGGTGGTTCTTACTTGTGAGTCTGTGGATGAACCCCTAGTGTGTGCCCATTCAAATGAAACTTCATGTACATGTACTTAATAATTTAATGTTAGGGGGAAACAATGCAATGGACTAGCATCCCATCTGCAGTGGGGAGTAGAAATACTCCTAGTCATGTCATGCTACAGAAACCGGGATAAGCTCCAGCTTGACAGGCCACTTGCAGACTTTACATGTACCTATAATTATATACATGCACATAGACAAACCTATTGAAGGTAAAGCTCCTGAGTGGTCCTTACCTCCATTTCAATGAGCAGAACCTTCAAGTCAGACACACCATGTCGAGAGACCTCTAGGAAATCCAGCTTATTGGTGAGCACTGACGTCAAATCCAAGATTTTCAGCTGTGAATTAAATACAAAGAATATCCAGACTTAGAATTTTCATTATCCACATTCATTAAGTCAAGTACAAAATAACAATGCATCAACGGATGTTCAAAATGTTCTGGGGTATCCAGTAAAATTAAGGGCAAGGAAAGTGCTATAAACCAAAGCCAAACTTTTGCCTTCCCTTTCTATGTTTGGAAATGTTCGTCCTCAGATACATGTATTCTTTTAATACTTGCTACACTATCATTCTATACTTGCATGGATTTTTTTCACATTTTCTGCATGAACATACAGTCTGTTCTTATTAACCTTGGTCAAAAAGTTCTCCTACCCTGTAACCTTCCTCTTCTGTATTATACTTCTCCTTTTTTTCCTCTGCAAGATGGCCAAGAAATATGTGCATAATTATCATTAACTTAAAAACATACAAGCATCATGACAAATAAATGCAGTTTGTCTTTTTACAACTAAAACAGGACTACTGATAAGCCTGCAAAGAAAACAGATTAGCCAAGTTGCTCTTTGGGCTAGCCTGAAGGTCTCCCTTGTTGGCCTCACTTCAAGTAAGAACTAAAAAGTTGCCCATATGAAAAGTGACAGATAACCAACGGACTAACAATTAGTGAAAAAATCAACTAGACCTGGACCATCACGCAGGGCATTCTTTAGCATGTTTTAATGTGTTTGAAACCCAGCTTTATTTAATAGAGTACAACTACATGCAATGCATAAAACAAGTCCGAAATAATATGCCACAACATTTATGTGGTAGGAAACTGGTAATAAGTATGATGAAGTTGTGCACCACTCATAAATCTCCTGACCATCCTCAATGCAGACACAGTGCAACATTGCTCACAATACTGCTTGCAATGATTAGATTGCATTGTGTGAAACTTTTGAAGCTCTTCTGTGTAAAATTGCCGTTCTAAGTAGAACCTTGTTCTACCATTCTGCAATATTGTGCAATATATGCAATATCACTCTGCATTAAGTCACTCAAAATCACACTTTGAGCAGAGCTCCTTTAATATTAACATCAAAGTTTTTTTTCCTGATTCATTAGTTGTCACCTGCAACAGATTTTTCTTCTTTTTTCTCCTCTGTGCCAACAGTTTTCAGATGCTCAAAGACTTCAGGTGGCAACAGAGGTTTCTCTTCCTTGTCTTCATTTTTGTCTTTGTCAGCTTCATCTTCAGACATCTCCATGCTCTCCTCCACCAAAATGTCCTGCTTACCAGCTTTCTCATAGGTGTCTGATAACAAAAAACCAGCCAGGAATACATAAATAATAGCCTCCATTTGGCACCACAATATGCTTGGATATTTGTCCATGGACATTATCTGTTCCGAGAAGTGAACAGTTTTGCAAGAGCATGACTCGAGGAAAACTGTGAGCTTCGAGGAACTGATAATGTCCGAGGACAAATATCAGAGCATATTTTTGCGCCAAATGCAGGGCTTAAAAAAAAAAAATGTTCATTACGCCTCGCCCTTTGGACAAGCAGCTCTAAAAGTTTGCTTGCCCAGGGCAAGACTAACTTGACTTTTTTCTTTGCTTAGTTACCAGACAATATGCCTGATCCCTTGCCCATCAGACAAGTGAAAATGACAAGTTACTTGCCCGGTGGGAAAATCTACTTGCCCTGGACTGAACTGGACAAGACAGCACTTTTTTGAGCCCTGAAACGGAGGCTATTCCATTTATTATCCTTCAAATATTTTTTACAACATGTGCAATTTTGAAAATTGGGGAATATCACTCAGATATTCCACAGTTTTAGCTGGGGAATATTCAGTCACATGGCACATTTATACCAATTGCATGCGAGCTAAAACATTTGGTGGATTATAAAAATTAACAACAGTTTAAAAGAAGTGAAGTGAAGTTTAATAGAATGATAAATGAAATTGAATTGCTACCCTGCAGGACTCCTAATTTGTGTCTTGATGTACCACTACACTCTCCATACAAAATTACAAAACTCAGTGTAAATCTGTTAAAGAGAATTTCTATCCTGACCTTCCAGCAGCTGAGCAGCAAAGTCATCATCAGAGTCCTCATCCACTTCCACAAGCTTTGGTCTTTTTGCTGGAACTTCTTCTTCATTGTCGACAGATTTACTAGCCTTTTGTATGGCAGCTCTCTTTTCTCCTGACCTTTCAGTGTCACTGTCTCTATCTTCCCATGAATCAACCACTTGAAAGCTGGACTCAACATCATCATCATCGCTGTTGTCTTTTGAGCTTGCTTCCCTGATGTCGTTTTCTGAGGCATCTTCTGACAGTTTTTCTTCCTTTTCCATTTCTTGGTAAAACAGACAACAAGATTAATACATGCATAAGTCAACACATGGGCAGTTGAGCTTTCGAAAATTACAAGAACATTTTTAGTAACAAGGGAATATTTTAAAGATTTGAAGTTTGAAGTTTTCTTCAGCCTTAATAGTTCATTTTTAAGACAGCACTTAGACATACTTTCAATATTAGTTAATTATATCGGTATACACAAGTAAAGATTTTAGATTTTTAGATCAACATAATTTCTTAACTTTTTTTCACACAACCCCACAAGCCAAAGGCGATCATTATCATTGTTGTTGTCATTCTCTTTGTCATCACTGTCATCATGACAATGTTCTTTTTCTGATAAAAACTGATACTCAATATAATTTCTTAATTTGTTGCAATCTGGGTTTATCTGCTTAAACATGAAGACAACACTCATAACACTTAAAAACAACTTGAAATCATCATCATCAGGATTAAAATGAATAAATATAAATTGTCTTACATGGTTTTCAGAGTGTTATCTTCAAGTTAAAGAAGATTACATGTACTCTTTATCATGCTGGAAACATATCAACTTAAAACAATTTGACCTACAAAATAATTATTATAATATTGATTTCCTACAACTATAAATAATAAAAAACAGTTTACTTAGCAATATGCATGTGATATGACAGCCAAAGAGTCTGAACTACACATTTTCCATTTAACAAGGCACCAGAAGGTACCCCATTTCATTCCCAGGGTCAACCTGGTGAGATTCTGTCTTGACAAAAAAAAAAAAATAGCCTATAGTGCATGAAGTTTCAAACACAAGTTACTGAGAAGAGCTTTCATACACTGCAAGCTTGTTTCTAAAATATTTTGCAAAAGAATCTGAACTTTGACCACAGGCACAATTGCAAATCAGACACATAATAACTTGTAAACACATTGCAGCAGCTATTTGAATTTCTAAATCACCTTTTGCCTCCTCAGAATCGTCTTTATCTTCTAGATCACCTTGTTCACATTTCTCCTCACCATCAATACCAGCTAGTTGAGCATCATCTGCAGTTTGTGTATCGGGAGCCGCTGACAATAATTGTTCAGGAGGATGCCACTGCACTTCATTTGTTTCCATATTCCAGTAGTAATAACAGTTTGTAGCTTCATCAAGGCAGGCCTGCCACGGGTACATGTCACCTGCTGAAAAAGGGTAAATTCCATAGTAAAGGAAATGATCAATCTGAACCGATCATCAGGTCTACCACTTACGTGTACGGTGTTGGAAACTAAATTTTGATAGCACTTGCCATTAGGGCGAGTGACTCTCAAAATCCACTCACTTGGTGGACATTTTCACTTGCTCAGAAAAGTGGCTCCCCTCTCCCAAAAATTCTCCACAATGATTCACAAATCATGCATTTTTCAATAGCTTGTTACCTCGAAGGCCCAGCTTCAGTGCCATTCCATGCTGAGCTTTCTTGTTCTGGTCCATTTATGAGATGCCTCCTTAGGATCAATGATTGATTTTATTGTTTTATCCTCAATTTTATCATCAACTTTTGAGACTCCTTGGAAACTTTTCACATTACTTATTTCCGTAGTCTTAGTTTAATGGACAGCTAGCACTACTGAATTCACATATATCCCTAGAATCAAGACATTTTGGAGTAGTCAACTAGTTGCCATGTGGAAGACTGATGTTTTTTATACTACAACACACTTTCGAAGCAGTTTCTATTCAAGGCAAATCTTTGTGAGATTTGTTTCTTAATGTCTCATGTTGGCTGATGTGTTGGCCAGCATGTATTAGATTTTTTACATTCACCAATTTTCCAGATACAGTAAGAGGTAGTAAAATATTGGGTCAAAAACCAGACAAGGATGGGGCTGCATTATTCAACTTATCAATAGAAAGCTTTTCACAATCTGAGGAAACATGTCCAAAAGCTTCATGCATTTCCTCATTGACACCTTGGCTTTAAAAAGTACCTGAAACCTTCAGGTCAAGATCTGACAACTTCATTGCCAATCTAAATACCTACATTTGTTTCAGCTAAGAAAAAAACTAAGCTGGCTCATTAAGAAGCTGAACCATAACCAGTAGCCAGGACTTAGCTACATACCTGTATGAGATTACATGCACATGTATGCTAAAAATAAAATAGCCCTCTTGGGTGTACAAAATAACATGTATTCTCTCACAAAAAATTTTGGGGAACACATCTACAGGGATTCAGGAAGCTCAGAGTTAGGAAAAACCCTATTAAGTAACTTCTTTCATTGTACAAGTAAAAGGTGACAAACATTAAATGGTTGAAAGTTCTTTTTCATCCAAGTCATATGAGGAAAAGAAGTTTAGGACATGACAATAATCAATTCAAAGAAGGGTCATTCCCTCAAGAGCATCTTTATTCAAAATGTTTACACAACTTAAATGTGCCTGCCAAATGAGCGCAAAGTTTCCTCCAGGATTCTCATTATGAAAAATCTGACCAGGTACAATTTCGTCGAGAGAACTTGATAAAATAATTTACCTGCTAGACTCACTGATCCTACACAAGAATAGCCAAATACCTTCATTTCCATTGTCATCAGCATCTACCCAAGTGTCAGAACCTTCTGCAACAGACATCACTGGGCGTTCATCTTCTGTGGTGGAGCTGACAGCTTCTTCTGGTTGTCTGTTCACCATTCCATCATCCACAGTGCTAGTGGTGTCTGCATCCATTGATTCTATTTCCTATAGGAACATTCAAGATTGTTTAACTTGAATCACCTTCCATGACCCCCCAGGGCGACTCCCAAGGAAACAGGACAAGAAGTTCATTGGAAATTTTGAAAAATGAGGTACCAAGATCCTGTTTCGTGGGCTTGGCTTGAATTTTTTTCACCACTAAGAAATACAAATTCTAAAATGACAATATCTCCTGCCATATTTTTTTTCAGCTCAATACCCTAAAAGGTACAACGTAAGCTCTCACTGTGGACTTTTTGAGACTGAAAACCCTAAGAGCCACCAAAACCACTTTTTTAACTCCTAGAAGGTACATCGAGCACCCCTGACCTTTTTAAATGCCCCCCCCCTCTCCCCTGCAGCAACTTCTGTCTTATATATGTAGACAAGTTGGCTTTGCTGAGTAACTAACAATTTTTGTTGACCATCAATGATAGTTGAATAGGCTAGACCAATAACAACAATTAATGTTAAAAATCTCGAGAAACTTTTTGGGTAACAAGTCTTACTTTAAAAAAGTCTGCCAATTTGGCATCAATTTCCGCATGCTGTCCAGTTGACGATGTGCTGGGAATAGCAGAGTCCTCTTCATAGTTTATAGAGCCATTTTGATCATTATTGTCAAGGTTCTCTTCATCATCTGTAAGAAAAATAATGTTATTGGTGCTAGTTACCTAAGAAGGCAAATAATAGTTCTCAAATACATTTTCATTAACAAAATAATCTGAAATTAAGAGTGTACATCAATGGCAATACCAACCAACCAACCGAGGCCAAGGTCATATAAAACACGAAAAAAAAAACAAACGATTATTTTGTTTCCTTAAAATTGAAGGATGTTGCAAGTCTTTAGATCCAAACAACCAAAAAACAGAACTTGGTAATCTCTCATTCTTGTTTAGAGGAGGGCAAGAACCTCTTGTTTAGTGGTCAACATTCCCGTTACTTAAGTACCACTGAATGACATACATACATATTTGAAAATAGGCCATTTCCGAGTTGGCTTTTGCCTCTGTGTCAAAACAAGTCTCTGTGCCAAACCATTCATATGGAAATGTTTTCCGCCAACATGTTCATTTTCATGCAAATCAAACTCATTTTCATATGAAAGGTTTTGCATGAAGACTTGTTCTGAAACAGAGGCACAAACTAACTCGGAAATGGCCTATTCAGTAAACCTTGCATCTAAATTAACTTCTGCATGTTCTTCTTCAAGCTGTTTAAAGAGGTTGGTTATCATACTCATAATGTTGAAATAGCCTTATGTTCTGTACTCTGAGCAAATTTTGAAGAATTATATTAGAAGCTATTAACATCTAATATGAATTAGATCTGGATTGTATACTCAGACCCTCTATACTAAAAAGAATTAAATGACAACATTTTAATTTATCCTGTCTCTTACCTTCGTCATCACTGTGGTCAGCATATGATCCAAGTAAACCAATACCTACAGAATGATATTCATTGACAGAGCAGTGAATAAGGTATCACAACCATACCTAAACTGTCACTTTACTGAGTGACTTATTTGCAAGAGCTTCACTAATACACTAGCATCAAACAACACACATGACAAAATCAGTTACCTGAGAATGAGTCAAACACATAAATCAAATAAACCAGAATATTCCATGGTCTAAATTATGAATATTTATTCTCCATATATCTATAATTCCTGTTGGTATATTTGAGAGTTTAATGAGTGTGTAAACAAATAAAATTTTGAGTAGCAAAAATTATTAGTCAGTGCGTATTTAAAATTATTACAGCTGATCATATTATTTTTTATTATTGACTGCACTGTACAATAATTACCTGTTATGCTGTTAGGATTGATGGTTCTCGTTAAACCACTTGACATGGGAACTGCATTTAAAAATAAGCAATTATACAAACTAAGAGATATGCTTCTTAAGGTACATATGACTGCTAATAAGAAAAATGGTCGAAATTTTGGCCTTTAAGGTACATAATTATCACTGCTAATAAGAGAAATGGTCCAAATTTTGGCTCAAAAAATTTTAACTTAAGCAACAATCAAGCAAATTTCTGTAATGGTCAAATGCATTAGGTCACTGGGTTATTAGGTCATTACAAGTTTGCCGTGTGCCTTGCATGTGTTGAGTATGACCTCCCTGTGGATGTGCACCTTGTGATATGTGCTTTGCATTTCTCACTCAGCCCTTCTCTACTTTGACAAGTATTTGGGTTGGTAAGCATCTCCACATATTCTATCGGTGTCTGGTGGTCACTGCTCTTATGCCTTGTCACTATCACTGGCCTTAATTAAGAAATATTATTATTAGTATATCTAAGACCGTGAGCTAGTCATTACACACAAGCACGGAACTATCGGTTGTTTATATTAGATTTACAAATATGCCAGCCTACATACCCTCCCCAACTTCTCTTCTTGATACTCTGTCTATTTGAAGAACAGTTCGTCTTCTGGAAGCCTGAGCCACAAGCTGCTTATCTTTGGCTCGCCGACCCATAACTTGTGACTTTTCAGAGCTTCATTCTGTAATGGACATGAAGTAAGTTGAGATTTCTTGGTGCAAATTTAGAATACACAAGTCATATGTGACTTCTGAAGTCCATTATGCTGGGGGCATGCAAAAATTGAGTACAACTTTCATCATATTAAACATCATCTAAAGCTGCTATTGAGGCCTTATGATGATGATGATGATGATGATGATGATGATGATGAGGACAACAACGACAATGATGATGATGACCACAACGAAGTTACTCTTGTAACAGAATTTTTTTAACCATGTTTCAAAATCGTGTAACATTTTTGTGTTGAACACGACAATTACAACCAAGTTGTAGGTTTGATTTACACAAAACATTTGGTATCGTTGACTTGCTATAACCTTGTTGTATGAAGGTTATGCAACAAAGTTGTACTGTACATGTCTATCTCCACCCTTTATTCAAAGAAAAGCTAGCCTTTTAACAACCTTTATTTGTTCTGCCTTACTTAATTTAGGGTCTTGAGGAACCACACGTGAAGTGGGGTTGTCAACCACAGATTACAGTAGACTGTTATCACTTAAGAACTAAGACAGGAGTAAACGCTTATAAAGCAATAGTTAAGCTTGATTAATCAAAGAGAATCTGATACATAATTTTAAAGGTATCCCAGAATAAAATATGTACAAAATAACAAAATCACCTTTTAAAACAGCAAGCTAAGGACTATTTTAAAAGAAATCACCTTTCAAATGAGAAAAGTCCGACAAAAATGCGTAAAATATTTCCCCCGCCGAAACATGGTGGATTCGAGCACACGACAGACTCACAAAATTAGTCAGCGGTAAGATATTCAATTAACCTCTAGTGTCCAGTTCCCCTCATGCTAGTTAGTTGCGGGTAATGGCGGCCGTCGCATTCCTTTTTCGGACAGGTAAATTCAGCCTTTTGAATTGTTTTTCCTGCCAATACTTTTCTAGATTTAGCCATTATTCTTCTGAATTTTATCTTTACGAAAAAGCGAAAAAGAATTATTACGGTTTTGCGACTTTTTGCGTAATCCTTTACAAAGAAGTTCCTTGGTTACTGGATTTCAATCGGATGTTTACATTGGTTTACAGACACTTCCTGACTTTCTTGCATGGATGTTTAATCGAAATAAGGAAACCGCTTAGAAAGCATTTCAGCAAAGGAACCTTGTTTGAAGGTTTCCATCACTCAATTTGTGTATCTGGATCGTGCGTGCTGCGACAACATTTCGTTCAATTGTGCGATATTTAAGCTTAATTATTAGTCATATTGTCTTCGTTTGACTCTTTGAACTTTGATTATCTGATTCGCAGCTCTTGATACTCGAAGAACAAAATTCATGCAGGCTGTTGTTGTTGAATATTGAAGTTAATTTGTGAAACCGCAGCACTTGGCTTGAAAGTTGACTTATTGCGGGGGCAATATCGTATTTTGACTCCAAAATCTTGACGCTGTGTCTCTATGTCCGGCAGCCGGACAGGATTTTCAAAATACTTCGTGTCCGGCAGTCAAAATTATTTTTTTAAAAATTTCACTTAATAATGTCAAATCCTTGTTTATATGGCTGAATACTAATTTTGGTGAGTGTGGCACCCGGTATATCAGGATTTATGACGTAGACTATTATAAAATAACCGGCAGTCAAAACGTTTGAATAGCACTCCGGTTAGCCTAAAAAGCACTCCATTAGGCGAAATAGCTTTGCGGTTAGCCTGTGGTTAGCTTTCAATAATGCTAAGGGTAACTCGATTAATACTGAAAAAATTTCAAAAATGGCCAGCTGGTAGCGGTGGCGCAGTGGTCATCAGTATCGCTTACTAGGCCAGCAACCTGGGTTCAATTCCTCATGGGGTTGCCTTTCATAACATGCATTTTACGTTGTTTTACTTTAAAAGTCTCACTGCCGGACACGGAGTATTTTAAGGAACCTGTTCAGCTGCCGGACATGTAGCCACAGTGAAATCTTGAACTGCTATTGCCGGTGTAACAATGTGTTTTTAATAACTAACGGTCCTGGAATAGAGAAAGAAAAGAATAACAGAAAATAATGTGATTGTGCTACATTCATGAAAGTTGACAATGTATATCATTCTGTTTTTCCCTTCTCATTTTCAGTTCTCATGCGATCCACAAAGACTCAAAGCCTGCCCAAGGTGTCACCCAGAAAATCACCTGTGCGAAGGTCCTCAAGCAGTGGATCAGTACGAACAGTAAGCCCTCTGAAACGTCCTATCAAGCAAAGGACTAGTGCGTTAGCAGCAAATAAATCTGACAGTGGATTAGTTTCATCCTTTAGAAAGCTCTCTATAACCCCAAATCCTCCTCCACCGTCACGGTCTAAAAGCACATCTCCCAGGAAGTCAAAATCCAGCCATGTTCGAGCATTAAGCTCTTATGCTATAAATTCAATAGAAGACATTGTGAATCTCATAAAGGAAGACAAATGCAAGAATATTATTGTCATGGCTGGTGCTGGAATCAGCACTCCTAGTGGTATACCAGACTTCAGGTAAATAATATAAACTCCGATTAGATAGCTTGAACCATAGGCAATCTCAACTGTTGGAATTCAATGTATGGTTAAGTTTGTCTGTGACATCAGCTATGGTTGGGGTGACTGTGTCATGTCCTTGCCAGGAAGGCTTAACTCGCACACAACTTCTCCGTGATAGCAAAATTTAAATGAGAAGTTCACGAAGAACAGCTGTAGGTACTTAAATCATCGATCAAGGTTGAGGTCCAGATAACTTATTAACCTAGTCTGAGGACCATACTGGGAGAATATCAATCCTATGTCTTGTGTGTAATATAAACATGTAGGCTTTTTTCTCCATCCTCTTATCCAGTGTCATAAAATAATGTTGATGAGAGAGAACATTATCATTGTTTTGAAAGCAGTCCACCAACATATCAAGATGCAACTGAGATTTGAGTATTTTACTTTTTTTTGTGGCGATTAGGTGATCTCCTCAGTACTTCAATTTTCAAGTGAAGCAACAAAAACCCTTCTGATGCAGCATTTGGTTTCTCTCAGATCTTTTGAGATAAGCTGGTTAAAACATAGCTGCTGGTCTCTGACCTTCTTGCTCATAGTTTTGGCAAATGACACAACCTCTGGAGTGGTGTCCTCCACTGTCCATTCCAAGGAGTCAGTCCTAAATTTGTGACACAGCAATCACAACTGTTTCAAATGGTAAATTTAGGACTAACTTGTAAAATCCACCATGTATATGATCAGAAAGCTGACTTGACATGACAGGTCTGGTAATACATCTTGTCAGAAGATGGACCTCAAAACATAAAAAGTCAACAGATGGGCACTATATCCTTACAACACTGAAAACAGCTGTTTACCTGCAATTTTAATGCTAACCTTAGCATTTATCTTTCCCCTTTTTCCATTCAGGACACCAGGAACTGGACTTTATGACAACTTACAACAGTACAGAATCCCAGAACCAACAGCTATTTTTGACCTGGACTTCTTTTGGTATGATCCAAGACCATTTTTCTGCCTGGCAAAGAGCTTGTATCCAGGAAATTACCAACCAAATTACGTGCACTACTTTGTAAAGCTTCTGCACGACAAAGGGCTGCTGTTGAGAATGTACACACAAAACATTGATGGGCTGGAAAGATGTAAGCTTGCTAAATTTCAACAGTTAGTTTTCTTTGATGTTTTTGTTATCGTAAAACAAAGAATTAAGCATAGCTGAGTAATGATCAATCTGAAAACAGCACATGGATCACTTTTATTAGTACTGTAATAGTACAATTATTTTTTGTGTGCAGATGGTTGGGTTTTTTGTTTACACTCAAAAGTTCAAGGAAGTAAATTGTATGTTTTTTATTCAATTAGTAGCTGAAGTCCCAGCGGGAAAGCTTGTGGAGGCTCATGGGACATTTTCAACAGCTTCATGTATAAGATGTCAGAAGAGCTATGATGGAGAACAAATAAAGGTACAATGTCAGGAAATGAGCACACATGAACTACAAAAGATGTTTGAAGGTGGTATTGTGCTGTACACATGTAGCTATTGATTATTGTGCTGGTATTGTTTTATCGGCACAACAATGCCCTTTGAATGTTGGAAGAACACTTCAAGTAACTCACTTTTTCATTTGAAGGTGTCTTACATTTTACTGAAGTCAAGCCTCAACTTTGGACCCACAATGTTTTATTTGTCTCAGAGAGAGACTAAACTTACCATCATATTCAGTGGTGGATTCAGATGCTCTGGATGAGGCGGCAGAAATTGGAATGGGGTGGGGTTAGAGAGTGGGGGTGTGAGCTGCAGAAGAGATCTTTCAGGGGGAGTCTGGGACCCGAAGTTTTTTCCTGTCATGCGACTCAGTGATTTTATGATGAATGCTTTTGTGAATAGTTTGTTGATGTATATTGTTATTTCATTTCAAAGAACAGGAATCTTTTTTTTTGTATATGCACAGCAAACAATCATGGATGGTGACATTCCAAGATGCTCCAGCCCAAGATGTACAGTGAGTAACAAAGCTAGTAAATGGCAATTGACCTGCATGTGAACTGGGAGTTTTATTGATATATACTAAAAGACTAGTTCAAGTGAGTTTGAGTTGAAAAGGGAGCAAGAGCTTGCCCGCCAACGATGTGGCAACAGTTTGAATTATGGACCAACATGTTATATGTAGGTTGAGTCCATCATTGCTTTGTTGTGCTGAATGGTAATTACGAGACTTTGTGAGAAGTTGAGACTAGCACTTTTCTTTGCAAGCCGCAAGACATTTTCACTGGCTTTTTAAATTGTGAGATGGAGACCTCCAAATTCAAATCAATCAATCTGGATGCACAAACACTTTAAAACAAGTTCATGACACCCATATTTCTGTATTTCGTGGGTAAAGAAATAACTTTTACATTTTTTTCTTTCTTTCATTTCATTACAAGTCTGTCAGCTGGCATATCAAGACTTCTTTCCAAGCTACAAAATTGATGATCACATTTCCTGTGCTTTCATAGTTGTCCACCCTGCGAGCAGAGCCTCCTTGATCTCTTTTTTTCTTGGTACAAGGCATCATTATGTACCATAAGAAAAGGCTCTGCTTGCAGGGTGTACTTGTCACGGCCCTAAAAAGATTCTCGAGTCAAAAAGAACACAATAACCTTTGCAATCTAATAAAAATCATAGCAAAATGTCTTGAAATGGTTGCCAGAAATGGAAATATCAGCAGTTTAAGATTTCATGGTGGTTGGAAAGTTTGAAAAATTACCGGTAACATTTCTATGAGAACAAAAGGTGCTTGGTGGAAAATCAGCCTCTGTCTAAACAATTCTAAGTTTTCAAAAGTTTCAAACCACCCCAAAATTTCTGCGTTTTCATTGAATCTCTATTGTTATTTTTTTCAGGGTGTAATAAAGCCAGACATTGTTTTCTTTGGTGAAGATTTGCCCAAGAAGTTTTACTCCTACATCGTGGATTTTCCAAAGTGCGATCTTCTTTTAATCATGGGCACCTCATTAGAGGTCAGGGCGATACCTTTGAAGTGAAACTTATGCTCAGTTCCGTTTCATTTGTCTCACTGTAAATCTAGGGTAGCATTGATCTTCAGATTGTGTGACGGGCCCAAGGAGCATAATTTGCATATGCATAGGAGGCTAACAACTAATCTCCCAAAAAAATAGATACTACCTTCATTTTTCCACCTTCCATAGTCCTCAAGGTGGCAGAGAGCGTGAACAGGTGGCTCTAACGACAGTCTAGCTTCCCAACAGAATATGGTATACAGTTATCATGTCCCTCAGGGATTCCTCTTTCCCCCTCCCCTGCCCGTCCAGACATAATACACCTTGGGAGTTTGGGCAACGTTAACTAGCACACCCTAAAATTTGATCAATGCAATATTTTCAATTGTCTTGTACAGAACGTATGTATGCACTTTGTTTGCAGTGTACATTCTAAATAATACTTATTATAATTTTTGGAGAGGTTATTTGCTGTCAGATGCACAGATAATAGCTTCATTTGACACCTTGTCTGTACCTCATGTAAAATGCCTGGGGGGGACTCTCATATAACAAAAACCGGGGGCTGCTCATCGGAATTTTTAAAAAGAATCCCCAAGAGGTCCCAAGATCCTGTTTTGTGGGCGTGGCTTTAAATGGTTTTCACCCCTAAGAGGTACCAGTTGGAAAACAACACATTATCTCCTGTCATATGTTTTCGGCTCAATACCCTAAGGGGTACCGTTAAAGCTCCCGCTGTGGACCTTTTGAGACTGAACACCCTGAGAGGTAGCAAAACTGCTTTTTTAACTCCTAAAAGGTACGACGAGCACGCCCTTCCTTGTTGTGGGAGTCTCCCTTGGGGGATAAAATGGTATTTACAAATTTGCAAAGAGACCATCTTATGCAACCTCGTTCCCAGGGTCTCTCATCTTACCGTCCCCATCTTACCGTCGCTCGCTCCAGGGGGCGGTAAGATGAGAGACCCTGGGAACGAGGTTGCATCTTATGACGTTTTGCATTTTGTATTTCGCCGCAGGTGGAGCCATTTGCAGGAATAGCGAGTGCCGTTGATCGTTCAACGCCCCGCCTTCTTCTAAACAGGGAAATCGTGGGCCCGTTTTCTCGGCGCTGGGAGAAACGCTCAAACGATGTAGTTCAGCGCGGGGACGTTGTCGAAGGCGTTCAGAAACTCGTCGACCTTCTGGGGTGGTCCGAGTCAATGGACGATCTTATGAACAGTGCCAAGGAAAAATGGAAACAGCATACAACTATGATGGACGCGAATGTCAACAAAGCTTCTGAAGAGCTTGCTAAAAGCATCGGCAAAACATCGGAAGTGAAAACATCGGAAAAGCTTCCGCTAAATTCTAATGGGCAACAGAAAAAATTAACTAACGATTCGTCAGGATTAAACCCATTTGGCACCAGAACTCTGCATTCTATAGCGAATGGTTTCGCAGGAAAAAGTGTTCTTTACAGGACAAATAAAAATGTTTTGTTCATGAGCAGAGAAGGACCTTTGAGACCAAATTTGGCAACTCAGAGAGCACCTCTTCTGCCGTTTAGGTATACTCAAAGGAAAGACTTGAGCTCTCAGGACAAGAACACAGACTTCAAAGTTATTGATCCTAGCAAAGATCTCGCCAGCGCAGGTTTCGGCCTTGGTAGGAGAAGCGCGGGTCGCTTGGGGTGTTTTCTAGCGGGGACCGCGGGAGAAAGTTCCAGTGACGATGATTAGATGATTTCAACGGTGTTTCATGTACAACTCCATATAGAGTACCGCTTGGAAGACTGTCAAATTCATCGGTCGAAGATCGACAGTTTTGACTGTTTTCACAGCTTTATGAAACATTCCGCGGGCTGAAGTAGGAATAATGGGGGCTTAGAATGTTGTTGCTCTTTTCTAATCAGAGTCTAAGAGAAGTGAAGAAACGAGGCTCATAATCAAAAGAAATTAGCGGCTAATTTCGAATCAACTGTATAGGCGGAAACTGAAGAACACTCACATATTTAGGTATGATAAAATTAAATGATTCAAACGGTGTGCACTTGAATTTCAATTTTATTTCTGTTTGTACGTCATCATCACGGCAACAGCAACACGGCACGGCTGCTGTAAGGGTTTGACCGCAAACATTTAACACATTCTCCCGTCTGGGTAATTTTTTTGGAGTGGCGGGGGTGGGGGAGTAATTTAGGTGCGCTTGTTGCGAGTTTAGAGCGGTAAATCGAGCCATTGTCATAACTGTAGGTTTACAAATTCTTCGAGAAGTAGCAGGCTCACTCTTCTCTCTTCGAGCTCAAAACGCCAAATTGTTTATCTTGGCTGTTTGTTTTCTTTCGGCGACGAATATTTTACAAGGGAAGCTTATGAGGTTTCGGAAGGGTACTTCTTTACATGGGCTATATAGATTTGTTCGGCGTCAAAGCTATGGAGTTTGAACTGTTTTGGTCTAGGGTATAGTTTGTGTACTCTGGTCTTTGAACTGGGTATGTTTGGTATGAATTGGGTGTGTTTTAAAGAAGCTACGTCACGGTTTGTGCATCTAAAAAATTGAGCCTAAATTTTTCAAGTTCGTCTTTTGTAATCCGTGTTAATCTTCTCCATCCTAGACCATCCTTGTGTCTTTATGGTTTATTATTATCTCTTTGATGTTGTTCTATCTTAGTATACTACTATTTTCAGGTTTCCTTAAATTTGAAGATGGTTTTGTAGGTGAGCAAAATAACTGAAAATACCGTGACGGAGCTTCTTTTGGTAGATTCGGGCCTGCAATACGGCACGGAATTTTGGGTCGGGTCTGAAGTCGGGTAAGGATTTTAAGAAGTTCGACGCACACCTCCACCAAGTTTATTTCTAGGAGTAACACCAGGCCGAAACAATACAAAAAAGAATAAAACTTGTTACCGTTTACAACATTTTTTTCTAAAAAAATATCGTCCACCCTAAATATAAACTGCGCTTTCACGAAACCTTAAAATCTTTGAAACATGCAATGATAGTAAGCTTGTGGTAAACCTGCGAGCCAACTTGAACAATACTGCGGCGGACGATATGGGGTACCGATAACCACAGTAGCCGCAAGGAATTTGGCAAGTACCGCGATACCAGGTTTAGAAACGATGAAATACCACAACTAAAATTGTGGGTTATTGGTCAGGACACCCAATATCACACTAGAATTTTCTCACTTTCTCTTATCACGTGGTTCGGTATTCATTTATAATGGTAATTGGATTGAGTGGAGTGCAATTTGGTCTGAAATCACAAGTAGCATTTCAGACTAAAATTGCATGACACGTATTGTTCAATTGTCACTTTGTTGCATCCCTTTTGAAATGGCACAATTAAATCGCCTTACATGTAACACAGGATTTTGGTAAGTGCTAAATATATTTTTGATCCTGTTGCCGGTTTGGTAAAAAAGCGGAACCGGAAACGCTTTTAAAACTCATTTTGCGAGTATGCAAAATAGAAAAAGATGTGATCACTTTAGAGCAAAAAAATTGTGCGATTCGTGAATAAATCGCGCTAGTTTTCTTACAATATATCTGGTTAGTTTAAAAGTAAGTCTTGAAATCTGATTGGTTGTTTTGTTCTAATGTTCCATTCTCATTGGCTGGGAAAAAGATGCGATTTAGAGCAAAAACAGGTGCGATTTGTGAATAAATTGCACTGCTGAGAGCCAATCAAATAGTAAGGATCGTCAGTGATTTCAAAATGGATGAAATAAAAAGTACTGACGGATATTGAGTTCACCAAGATTCACGCAAATAACACACAAATAACTGTTGTTTTCGGAATTCGACTTAAGCTGGGAGTAAAGCCTTGTTCGCTTGGACGAAAACAGACTTCTTCAAGGAACATCCAGTATTTATGGAAAACGCAAACAAGTCAAGAGGATGGCGCAATAGCTTGTTTTCACTTTTCCAATACCTCATTTCCCCAGTGCCTGCCTAATATTGCTGCGTTGAATTTCGGAGACGGTTTACACGATATCAGTACGTCTTTCATATACAGGTGCAAGTTCATCCCGGTTCTCTCTTGTATTACATACTACCTTTTGTGTTTTTACCATTTACATGAGACCAACACAAAATGTAATGCCAGACCGAGACACACATGCGTGAGCTAGCGAGCGCAACCAGCGAGCGCAAAAGTCTCTCGCCTGCTGATCGCGCCAAGATCCATTGGGACGAGAGCACAAATCGGCGGGACTGGCTTGCTATACAGGCTAGTCCACAAGCTACGTACCGGGTCGAGTGAGGATATAAAACACTTAAGCTAATTATCAACTTGAAATCTAATCGCCGTAGAGAGTTCGAGCGATAGTCCCTTGTCACAGCATAGAAGGGGAGTGGCAACCTCGTTCTCAGTGGTCTCTCTTCCCCTCGCCCAGAGATACCCAAGGAACGAGGTAAGTGAACCTTTTGATTCGTTCCATTCTCGTCCCCATAGCCCTTTTCGCAGGACCTTGGCACGAGAAACGAAGGCTTGGAGCATTGTTTTGTTTGTTTACTTATCGTTTCGTTTGCCGAATTATAAGGAATCTAGTAAACGGTGCAGGTCGCCCCAATGTTGGGGGATTATGGGGATTTGAAACGTCACATCACTTCTAATCTTCTAATCCGCATTCGAGCTCAATGACCAATCAAGGCGGTACTTCTATTTATTCCTACCCCCCCCGGGACGGCATGCTGGTAACCCCAAGCTCGTCGGTTCTACAACTTGGTGGGGATGAACACTGTGACAAGTATCTTGTCAAAGAACGCATGATGACAATCGAGAGCTGCAGGCATCGAACCCAGACCATTTGCTCCAAGGAAACTGCCCTTCTATATGTACACACTGGATATTTTCAATTGACTGTAGTGAAACCAAAACCAGGGTGATCACTCTTTGCCATTTGCGAACACACAAAAATCCAGGTGCTAAACTGCACAAAACTTGTGCAACTTAGTCACAATTGGTTTTGGCTTTATTCCTGATAATTGGAGGAAAAAGTGACACAAGTTTCTCAGACATATCACATAGCGTAGTAGAGTGGTTTCGGAGTGTTGTTAAACCAAAAGCAAACCAATTACTTAGCAATTAGAATACTGAGCCAATCTCCAACCGTAGTAAAACCAAAACCAAAGTACTAGACCAATTTGGATATATTAAAATTCAGCCCAAAACAATAGACGTCAGTGCGAGGTTCTGGGGAATAACTACAGAGTTTGTGGGGTTTATTCCCCAGAACCTCGTGCTGAGGTCTATTGTGTTAAGCTGAATTTTAATATATCGAAATTGGTCTATTACCTGATTACTTTCAACACTCAATTGACAAACACTCTAAGACAAAACTGATACAAGATGGATTACTTTTGATACTTTGTAAATGGGAAAACTAACTCTGTTATCAACACACCACCATTTCTGATTGTGGGTTATTTATTAATTTTTGTATTGTCAATTCGTTATTTATGGACTCTTGTACTTATTTATCAATGTGAAGTGGTAAAATTGTTCCAACACTGAAAAAAAAAAAAACATTCACATGCAGGACTAGGTAGCTATCAACTGCTAAAGGTTACTACTTTTGTCAGATATTAGTAAAAATAGCCAACCAGTGTAATCCTGGTCTACTCTATTGTGTATTTTCATCGATACGAGTTTTAAAGAAGGGTCATCGCTGTTTAAAAAAAGTTTGTGACAATTTTGTGGGTAAATAAATTTTTACAGGATCTCATGGCAGAAACACTTCTCAACAAATGCAACCATTCAGGGTTAGTTTCTGTTGTCTAAGAAATGCACGTAACAATGATAAATTCAAATACCAAACCAATTTCTGCATTAGTAGTTTGTCAGAATGGAACTTTTCAGCCTACAGATGACTCTCTGCTCTCCTTTACAGTTGTTGTTTGAGTTGTTATGGAATGCTCACAGCTGCGAAGGAGACTAATGACTAACGCTGACAAATTTAGGTATCAAATCTGGTCAGTATGGAGCTTTTTAGGCTCGACTATCAGGTGCTGTTTGGGAAAGGAGCCTGTGCTCTTCCCCAGAGGACACATGGAGACCAGACTCAAGAAAGCGGCAGAAATCGAGCCTAAGAACTTTTCAGCCTCTCTTGACGGGTTTGCCAATGAGCATATGATTGATAATGATTGGCACACCAATGCCAACCTCTACATTCTTTTAAACCTCCACTGAGAAAACCGTAGTCCCTTTTTGCTGCGAATGGTTTTGCAAACAAATGCATGTCTTTTCAGGAAAAAATATTCCTTATAGCATGACAGGCAAGAGCTAGTATGAACAGAATAATTCTGCTAACTATATAGGCAAGCAGATTATTGTAACAACACAAATCCTCCTCACTGTCAATAAGACAAATAAATTACTCGTCTTGACAGTGAGGAAGATTTGTATGTTTACATTCAACAGAGGAATATGGATGAAAATAATACCTGTTGCCTCCACAAAAAGTTAACCACTCAAGCAGGATGCTCTCATCCAAATGAACTGATGACTTCTTCATTCAAACTCTAACTTTGTGAAAATGCATGCAATTACAAGTACAATGTAACCTTGGCAAGAATGCCATAAACAAATCTCTTATAAATTCCATTAAAACTGTCTGCATATATGTACATTTTTCTTAAAATTCTAACTTCTGTCCTCAGCTAATAGACCACATTATTTTGTAATCTTGGCATTGGCCTAGGACTTGCTTGAAATGGAGGCTTCCAAGAGGACTACGACGTGAAGTTCTTTTTAATAACAACCCCCTCCCACAATAGCCTCCATTGCAAGCTACAACAGACAACAAAATTTGTGGGGAAGGTTGTAAAAGTACAGTAGTAATTGCGATATATTTTGACCCAAACTATTACCATGACTGAGGGGTTTTACAGCCCCCTGTCTCCTATGTAAATGTTGAAGTTTTATTGAAGAACATGGTGTGGACAAGTTTTTTGGAAAACCGACAATCGATATTGGTGGGATGGGGGCAGGAAAATAGATAACCTTCCCAACACTTTTGTCACACGTTGCAGCTCCAGTCCAATACCAGGAAAACAAATATGACCTATTCTCATTTGAAACTTGAACAACTGCGACGTCCTGGGCATAAGTTGGGCAGAAGTTTGATGAGTTTCTTGAAGGTTTGCTGGAAGTTCCACAACTATGACTGTTTCAAACCAAGACTCCAATATGAAGTTCCCATTGGCGCTGAACAAAACCATGATGATCTTTTAAGCACTGTGCATCACAACTGTGCTTCACACAATAACACCTAAAGCCATACAAGATGGAGGTCGATATGGAGGTGGCGGATCGCCCGCCCTTACGCTTTCATTATCATCCAGTACTGCACTGTAAGGCGGAGGTGCAACATTTCCCTCAAAGAACCCCGAGACAGTCTGTCGTGTACCATGAATGACAACACGTCCCCTACTATTACGATGATGTCGATGATGTCTAGTTCTATGTCTTGGACTACGTGATCGAATATTTATTCTCATAGGAGCTCTTTCAATTGATGAGTTCCTTTGACGTTTTGAAAGTGTTGTATGCCGCACAATACTGAAGACAACAAGAACTACTAAAAACATACAGGTGCACACTGTTGCCACAACTACAAATGTGTATGGAAGATGTCCAGTCTCTGGTTCAAGTTTACTTTCCTGAGATTTTTTCGTGGTATTTATGCTTGTCACAGAACTAGTTTCTACTAGAAAAGAAAACACAATAAACAATAATTTTAAGTAATTCCTCATCAGCAAGACAGATTCAATCAGGCTCGTTCCCGTCTTAAACAAAAGGATCACAGTGAGACTACTCGAACCAGGCCACCTAGAAGAAAACTAACCAATCAAAACATAAACTGAGAACAATGGACTGGTAGCTTGTTATGACCGTAACGGTCTGTTTGATGTGAAAACATAAACACTATCAACTCCTCTATGTTATATAAACTCTTAGAAATTCAGTTCCTAATGGTGAATTATCATAATTGTAAATCTTGCTCACACTATTGAGCTTGAACACTCATTTTGCAACAACTAAACAAAAACCATTGAAATGCATACAAAAATTAGGATCCAAACTAACCAATCAACAAATGCAATGTTTCCTGAGAGGTTTGCAACACTTTGCACTTTGTTGGGTTTTCAACTTTGTTTTAAAAGGACTACTGTTTGTATTCTTCAATGTTATTGGTTTATTTGAGAAAAAGATCCCCATCCCTTGTTCTCAAGTAACGTTCTGATTGGTTAACTCCTTTCCAAGTGGCCCAGTTTGAGTAGTCATACTGTAAGACAGGCGTGTTGTTCCTGGGTGAGCCACTTAACTCTCAGAGTGCCCCTCTCCACCTGGGCGTATTAAAGAGTACGAGCAAATTTGCGTTAGGGGGGCGATGGACTGGCATTCCATCCAGAGGGGAACTAGTTGCTTAATGCTACGGAAACTGGGATACACTTGGCCCATTTAAATACACCTGGGTGGAGAGAGGCTCTGTGAGACTATAAACACAACACAATGACGCAGGCCACTCCATCTGGAGTCCTGTGCAACTCTGACAAGACATAATAATTATTATAACGGTGGTAATTGGAGCTGTGCAACTAAAACCTGGAAGAAACCCTCTTATACTATTTTCTTACCTGTTTTAGGGGATTTGGTGGCTTGGGATGGTTTGTCTACTTTCTTGTCATCATCTAATTAAACAAAGAAAAGAACACATTTCAATAAGTTTTTAACCCTTTCCAACAGCATATATAATTTGATTGAGAATTTGGGGCATGTAAAATCCTCACAGTCAGTCTCTTAGTCAGTGATTTCCTTAACAAAATTCTTGTTGCCCATCTATGTGGATTCAGATTGATCAATAACAACTGCAAGAAGACAGAGCTAAGATTACGAACATTAATCCTGTTGCAGCAGAGGACAAATATTTTATTTGAAAGCATTGCTTTCTCAGATCATGTGTACTGGATCAACATCTCTATCAACACTGGATTGACATCTCCATCAATACTAACTCAACACCTGATTTGCATTTCGGTCGAAATTCAGTTGACAGTCAACTAATTCTTGCAGACACGCCATCGATCGATACATGAGTTGGTCGAAACTCTGCCACTACCAACCAACTCTTGATCAAGTGTTGATCGAGTATTGATCGAGATGTTGATGGGGTGCAAATGGAGGGTATTGATCGAGCCTCCAACATGGATGCCTTTAGAACATGTGATCTGCTTTCTCTCATTCAGTGAAATTTCTCCTGCGAATCAAGTTTTTCAAACTTAAATGGTTTCATTGTTTGGTGCATGTGCAAGTTAAAATGTTGACCCATCTGATTCCACTCTGCACAAAACAGTTAGATGTGAGCATCTGACTCTTGTCAAGATTGTGCCTTTGAAATTTTTGTGGTCAGTCATGAAAACATGGCGACAGCGGTGATAATGAAACTAATGATTACATAATGGTTGTTCTAAAAGCTAATGGGGAGTTTGAAAGGCAGGATTCCCCAGCACTGCAAAAAGTCTAACCACTTCTACTAACCTTTCTTTTTGAGGACTTCCAATATCCGAGAGTAGTTTACAAAGAAGCATTCTCTGTGTTTTTCAAGGATATCTATGGATAACACAAATTTTGGGTGCTTCATGGCATGACACCCTGTAAGTTCGCTGATGCATATTCGCAGTTTCTTCACCTCAGGGCAAATCGATGTTGCATTCTGGTTATACTGTTGGTAGCAATTATTGACATGTTTCTCATTACATTCTTTTCTATGAACTGTAGAGAGAGGAGAAATTTTGACATCAGAAACTAATGCACTATTGGTAACAATTTGTTTTAATGCCCTTCCTCCAATAAGCCTGCACCCCCTAACTAACAAGAGGCTCCCCCTTGATTGACATTTTCTAATAAGCACCTACTCCAATGAGTACACCTCCCCAAAAACCAAAATTTCAAAACATAAAATTTAGTCCCTGATATAAAAGAGACTGATTAGAAAACCAAATCACATACTGACTGCTTTCTCTGAACATAATATTAAATGTATTGACTCAGAATAATGTGACTAGACAGTGCGAAGTTCAAGAAAATGTTCATATGCCCCCCACCCCAAGAGGGGTTACTGGGGATTCCAAGGGAGGTCTCAAGAGCCAAAATTTTTTATGGAAAGTAGAAACTGAAACTAGAATCTCCGAAAGGATTGGGGAAGGGGTGGGGTGGGTTCAAACTAAAAAACCATCCACAGCAAGGATATGAATATTTTCTGGAGTAACAGATGGTTTTGTGATTTTTAGCACAAGTAACAGTCCTTGTGACAGTTCTCGAGTTACAATATCAACTGTTGTAGGTTGTTTTTAATCAATAGTGCTGTATCAAAGTCTGATATTCACATGTATCTCAACAAAAGAAATAAGCGACCTGTCAGACACGACGTTAATGTGCATAACGTGTAAAAGACTGAGCGGTAAGTACATGATGATGGCAAAAATATATTGAATCTGTCTCACTGAAAATACTAGTTATCTATCACTCCCCCAGAGAGAGAGAGAGAGATGAGGTCTCGGTACACAGCTGTATACATAATCCTTGCTTGCACAGAGTAATACAGACAGGTAAATGTCAATACCTTTACTTGCTGGAATACAATCTGGATAAGAATTCATTTTCTTGACAAGTATTTCATACTTGAGCCTTACAACTTGGTTTGGCCAGTCCTTATTATTTACACAAGCCGCAAGACAAACTTGCAGTTCCACCACCTCAGGGCAAACTGGCAGGGTGTTTTCATTGAATTGATCTTCACATAATGTCAACCGTCTTTCAGTGCAGTTGCTTTTGACATTAGATTCTATAACAAAAAGGAAAACAAATCAGTAAATCAATGTTTTGCACAAAGTGTTCGGACAAACCAAAAGTGCCTAACAACTATATTTAACCTCAATAATCCAGACTCGTTAATAATAATAATAATAATAACAATAATAATAATAATCGATATTTAAACAGGGTGACCCCTTCAGTCGCAGGACTGGTATCAACGGGGACCCTGTATAACGTAAAATAAAAAGAGCATGTATAAATAATATATATCTATAAAAACTAACTACTTTAAAAGATACGCTGAAATGTTTAAAAAAATAAAAAGCTTAAAAAGGTAATAGCATTTAAAATTTAAAATTTTTGATTATACTGACTTCTGTCACATTCCAATCTTTGTATATAATTATGTACATGATCTGTTAAAATAATGCACCTTAATCTAACATGGACTTCACCATGCGTGCATTTCCCTCGCTAGTATTTGTGTTATCAATTATCCAGACCTAAGTCTTGATTAATTAATCCAGATAATTGATGTTTTGCTATCAGTAGTTATCTGAACATTTCTGAGCTTAAACCAAGCTAGGAATAGAGAGGGCAACTGTTTGGTATCAAATACCTGCCAGTTTACACCCTGGCTTTTTTCGCCAGGACTAGAAATAAGAAACTGTAAAGATAAATACAATTTAATTAAGGTAACTTAATTAAAGTTCTTATTCACCAGGACTGTGCTCTTAACAAAACTGACAGAATCCAAAGGTCCCAAAGATAAAACATATAGGGTGTCCAATAAGTTTTGGTGACTACTATGTTTTTCCTGTCTCCCACAGAAAAAGAGAGTGGCGTCAAGTGATTTATATACATAGGAAAGTGAACTTGACTTAAGATACCAGGAGGAAAACAAAGTGTTTAGTTAAACTTATTTTTTAATCTCCAGTGTTACTAATAAACACCACTAAATTGATGGCAGTTCCTAAATTTGCATTTCTTCCAGTCCGTCGCACAGTTGACTCCTTTTTAAGTTGGCTGAAACCTTTCTGTTTTTACTTCCACAACACAAATTTTTCATTGGTGAAGCACCAGCCATTTTCAGCCTAATACGTAATTTATGTTATTTAAATGTGCGAGTTTTCTTCTCAAAATTTAACAGAAGTGTAGTCAACAGGGTCATGGAACAGGAAATTGCCCAAAAGATTTTAAATTGACCCTTAGACGGTGCAGGAAATCGCTTTAGCATGGCCTGCCAGCAGATATATTGCACGCAAAGGAGAAGTCACGAGAAATACGCTGCAATTTCTTCAAAGCACGGGCTGAGTTCAAATATCGAGGAATTGACCCCATTTATCTGTTTTAAGTATCAGTGTTTATCAAGCTATCTCATGTTTAGATGAAGTAGTGACTAATTCAATGTAAATTGCTTCTCATGATATCAAAACCAGCCAACTGCGTTTGACTGGTGAAATATTCAAAACAGTAAACCGCCTCGGGCGAAACGACGAGCGAAAAGCAAACGCTCTCCCACATGAAAGATTTTACATGTGTGACTGAGAAAGCAAACAGACAATGTTATCTTCTCATACATTTGAGTGCAGGGGATTTTACATTCTTGTAGAATATAATCCTTTTATTTCAGGTAACCTAAGTTCAGGCTTGAAGCTTATAAGCATACTTTAGTCGTTAGCAGTTTAGAGAAATACGAGCCGACAAAGAGATTGAAGAAAACAAACTAAAGAAGAACACAAATTGTCACCACTACAGGCGCTTTCGTGATCTCTGCCAACTCTCTTCTTTGAATTCAATAATATTGAGATTTGCGGCTAGGTGATGGCAGAAAAGAAGTCGTAAGCTTAATTCTTAAGTTTTAATAGCCAAGCATGGAAAATGAAACCTGTCAAGAAAATCTAAGCTTATGTACCGCGAGATGCGTAAATCGAACACAGCGTGAAATGAAAGCAACTCTGGGAAAGCAGAATCGATGTGCCTTGTTCAACTGGTAAAAAACATTAATTATATTCAACTGTGGTAAAGAGTATCGAGAGTTTTCCCTAAGCAGAGATTTAACTTGCTGACTATTGAAATATGCACGCATTTCAATGTTAGAGAATCTGTTCAGGGAACAACAAGTCTTACGTTCTGGAGCAAGCCCAAAGTGAAATTTTATGCCAATAGTGGTTGAGGTAAAGCTTAAATTCGACATGCTCGACCAAAACCACGTCAGATCTTATAATACTTTATCGCTCCTATCCAAAAGACAAACCCCAAAGGAAATGAAGAAGTAGCTACTTCAAGGGTTCAAAGTTGGCGTCAAATAACGAGTACTTTCGTAGACACTATATTTTCATCATTGGTTGCCCGTACAACTACCAAACCATCGAAGCAGAACAACCGAGCTTTTAATCTTTAAAGAAGCTAACAAACCAAATCTATCTTCTAACGTCACTGTGAAAGTTTAATGTTTCCCTAAGTTGTATTTCCGTTATGTTCACTTACCCACTGAAGACATAACAAGGAGAAAAATCAACATAACGAAGCCTCGTCTCTCTGCCCCATCCATGTTTCTTGTGCATATCTGCAAACAACAAACCCCACTGTCGGGTTTTGTCAATGTGTCCAATTATGGAAATTGGCTCGGATATGAGCGCTCTGATTGGCTGGCGAGTGAAACAGATGTCACTTTCTTTCAACCTTTGGCGGCCAAATGATTACAGGTCATTCGTGAAGAAATAAGAGAAAATTGGCGCTATTGTAATAGAGCCAATCGCAAATGGGGCTATTTTATCGGTCGGAAACAACAAAGGCTTTCGCTAAATAAGGCTCAAAGATGCCGAAAAAGAATACCTTTTATCCCTCGCGTCTGGAGAAGTGAACGAACACAAGATGCCGCCTGATTTACATTTCAAGCACAACCAAACGAAGCGTCAAAACAAAGCTGGTTTTCATATCTGCAAAACGAAGCTTTTGTAAAATTTCAAGTACCGGCAGCGAGGCAATGCTTCTTTGAAAAATTGAACTTCAAGACATTTGTCATTTTTCAAAAGCCCTCGTTAGCGGAAATTTTTTCCGAGTGAATCGCACTCGGCCTGAAGAGATTTTCGTGGCGTCGCATTCATAAACAAAATTTTAAACCTCTTAGACCAGAACGCAATTGCGGTTTTCTTTCAATTTTAAAGAAGACGAGGCTATTTTAATATGGCATTCCAATTTAGAAACCGTTGTTTATTATTTTATGATGTTTGTTTTAGAAATGTTTTTCAAAGAATCAGGGAGCGTTGCCTCTAAAATTACTACTAAGCGCATTATCAGACGACAGCTTTTTAAATTCAATCAGGATTCTGATCGAGAAATTTTTTATTTCATTTTATTTTCTCTATTTTTATTTTCTTTTTTTCTTTTTCTTTCCAATTCATTCGCACCCAGAATTCCTTGCACTATTTGCGGGAAGTTCAAATCTCCAAACAACCAATCACATGAACGAAAAGTTCGTTTATCGTCTTCGGCGAGTTTTTGAACTGACTGCAAAGAAGAAACGTGTCTACCTTTACGCGGTTGCTGATCGCCTTAGCTTTTAGTTTTATAAGTTCTCTTCAGCCGTGTTGTTAGTTTTTACGAGTTCATTTCTGGATACCTGCCTACGTTTTGGTAAGTCCTTTGACATGAAGTTCGCACTCTGTCTGGCGAGCCGCCATGTTGCATTGGTCAGTTGTGGTCTGAATGTAATGCCTGCACTCTCAGGGCGTTTTGAAAGGTTGAGTCACCACCGACTCTTCGTCTCTTATTAAATTGAAATCTTATTTCATTTTTCTATTCCTTATTTTCATAATCTTGGTATTATCATGAGACCAAAACAAATTCCAAATCTTCGAAGAAATGTGCATTTGTCTTTGAGCTCGCTCGTTGCACGATCTTTTGATCCAAGAATCGTTCGTTAGCTTACTGATAATGTTATTCACTAAATGCTGATGATTAGAGAGAAATCGAAAAGGGACTGGATATATGAAGTGTGTCTTGATGAAACAAATCTTTTCCTCGTTAAAATCTGTGAAGTGAAAAAAAATTACCATAAAGTTGTTTGCTTACATAACCTGCTTTGTATCTTCTTTAGACATTCATTGGTTTTTACATGTACTGAGCCCAAGACTAGAAGCAGTGAAAAATGGATGTTACCGAAGTGCAAGTGGTAAGTTACTGTAATATACAGTTTCCACACTGGAACCAATAATTGAAACTTATAAAAACTAGTTCTGCATTCAATACTGTCAAATAGAATTAGTATGCTTACTGCACTGTGCATAAGACCCAACTGCATGAAGATTATGGATGCCTTTCATGAAACAAAAAAAACAATAGAAAATATATGCATGCATGTTTACATGGGCTGCTGCAATCACGAGAACATGTTTGAGGGAATTCAAAAAACTGGAGCTATTTGCAAGCATTTTCGTATTCTCCCAAACTTTNAGATCATCTTTGTTTCCAGATTTGAACAAGGGTACAACCTTTGCTTGCTTCCATTCAGACGGGACTGCACCAGTTTCAATAGAAAGATTTATCAAATGTTTTACACAGTCAGCTATCACAACTGCGCTGTCCTTTAAAAGTCTAGCAGGTAGACCATCTAGACCTGTAGCTTTCTTGAGTCAGTAGGCATTTAAGTTGCTTAAGCACAAACGGTTTACCCACTGCTGTGAACTCAAAATGTACTACTATGTACTAAAGCTGACAGGAAAATGATCAGAGTTAAAATGATCAGTCAGTACTTCAACATTACTAACCAAATCAGGGATTTTGGTCAGAATTAAATCAAGAATATTGCCATCAGTTTCATTTAGCATTCTTGTTGGATTGAAGTTACATTGAACCAGAAAATGATCGTTGAGCACGTCACAAAAATCAACAGTACATGCATCGATTGAGGTGGGAGTCAAACCATACCAGTCAATGCTTGGGAAGTTGAAGTCGCCCACAAGATAGCAGGTAGCAAATCTAGTCATTTCAATTCTCTCCAGACATTGACGTAATATGAGGGAATATTCCATATCAGCACTAGGTGGTCTATAGCAGACTCCAAATAGGATGTTGTCCATTGATTTTTGACAAATGTCCACCATTACGGTTTCAATTCTGTCATCGATCTCCAGATCCCTTCTTCGTATCGAAATTAAGTCTGTATGTACCGCTAGTAAGACACCTCCACCTCTACGATCTTGTCTGTCCTTGCGACGAATAGAGTAATCATTCAGACCCAATTCGAAGTCCATGAAGCTAGCGTCGAGCCATGTTTCTGTAATAGCTATGACCGGAAAAAAATTCTCCAGCAACAAGGCTTGCAAGTCAAGAACCTTGTTTCTCAAACTTCTGGCATTGAGTAGTAAACATCGAAGATTTCTGGTTGAAGATACTGCATTGGAAGACGAATTAACGACAGTTTCGTCGCCTGGATTAGTTTCAACATCACCGCTGCATATAATTTTAAAGGGAGATGAATTGACTGTAGTAATTCCATTCGTATGGTAAGCAATTCGTATGGAAAAATACCTAATTCGTCGAAGCCGTCCTTCCAAAGCAAGATGGCCGCCACGTGGTCCAGATGGAAGTATCAATAATTCGTCACAAAATTGTCGTTCAGATAAAATTCGTAGATCAACAGATATGCTGGAAGTCACAGATGTTAGTGGACTCCCAGAGTAGTTGTAGTCAGTTGCTGAAGCTCGTAAAAGCAGGCAAAATAACGTGAAGTAGCAGGAGATCGTAAAAGCACATCCGACCGCCATGAGCACCGCTGACCCGGTTTTTGCTTTGCTTTTGCAGACCCGTAAACGGCTCGTGGACATCACCGGAGAAAAATGGTCTAGAATTGGCCATTCAGAGCGCACGTTATATCGGCTACAAACACAAGCCACATAATAAGTAGTGGACAGCGGATAGAGAGTTCAAAGTGATTAATACTATCCTTGCAATGGCAATTAGCAGGCTGCTTTTTTTTCAGCAGCCACACGGATAATTTCTTTAACCAGAAGTGACAGAGAAAACGAATTGAAGTTTATTCATTTATTTATTTATTTATTTGTTTATTTATTACCTTCACATCTATGCCCACGATAACCAGGTTTACAGCGACAACGATAACCAGTTTTATCTTTTGAATCGAAGATACAGCTTCCGCCATTTTTACATGGGCTGGAAAGACAAGGATCTTTCTCTGAAATTATACAAAGAAAAGTCTTGATATAAGAGGAAGAGAAAATGGTTATTCAAAGGAATGCAATTCAACAATACATTATTATATTAAAAACTGGATCATTGGATAATGCAGTTCAAGAGTTTTCATTGGCTTAGCCATCATGGTATATGAGCCATTATACCTTGCTCTACACAAATGGTTAGCGTACGCGTGATTCCTTGGGGCGCTTTTATTTTTATTTTAATTTGTTTCTACATTTTAGGGGCGTTTTTAATTACAAAAAATTTTTCCACTCACGCTTGTTAGATATGAGATGGTTATAGCCAACTCGATGCTTCTCGCCTGGTCGGCTATCAACCATCTCTTATCTAACGCACGCTCGTGGAATAATTGTTAAATACACTGATTGCATAGAGATTACATTAAGCCACTTACGGTCCCTAGCAGCACACTTCTTCTTTATGGTCGCTATCTGATTGGAGGTCAACATCATTCCATATATTTGCAGGCACGTGACCCGACCTCTAAAGTACTGATTAACACCACTCACGGCACCCATTCGAATGGAATGCTGGGTAGCCAGGTGTATTCGGCTCATTCTTGTGCGAAAAACCTGAAACATCAAATAAATGCAAAAGAAAATGTCAAAACTTGCTGGAATTCTTTGAAAATCAGAGCTACTAGTTAGTATTCAGATAATCTCGTAAAGTAATTTTTGTCTGTCTCTAAACCTATTGTTAATAAACCCCGTAAACTGTCGCCTATAAGCCCTCCCCCCCCCCCCCCCCCCCCCCCCCCCCCCCCCCC